GGCATAAGGAGCAAGGAAGGCAAGGTTTGCATTATGTGGCTTGGGGTGATCTCTGCCTTCCCAATCATATAGGTGGTATTGGGTTCCACTCTTCATCAAGATGGCAAGGACCTTAGAGAGCTCGGATTGCTTGCCAGTTTTATCATAATCTAAAATCTTTGCTAAACAAAAATATTATTGCCAAGTATGGAACTGATCTATGGAATGGTTTGGCTAAAAGAGGGACTTCTCCTGCTTGGCGTATACTCATTGATGGAGCTTTCTACTTGAATCCATTAACTAGATGGATACTTGCAAATGGAAAAAAATGTTAATGTTATGAATGATACCTGGATATGGGATAAAAATCTTAATAGCTGGCCGACTTTTCGTGATCACCAGGTTTTACAGAATATGACTGTAGATCAGCTGATGCATGAATGAATGTGGAATGTAAACAAGTTACAATAATGTTGTGGGAAGCAACTGGTACAAACTATCCTTCAAATCCCATTGCATCAAGATCAATTGGAGCTAATACATGCTAAAATAGGTAAATCTATTACATCTATGGTTTTTGAAAGTCAGTTTCAGAACTTTAACGCGAATGAAAATGTTCAGTGGATTGATTGCTCTGCCTACCACTCATTGGCTCAATCATAGGAGGTTGCAAGAATTAATGCTATGCCCTAGAGGGTGTCAAAACACTGAAGATATCCAACATATTGCAGTAAACTATACTAAATTAATTGAGGTAATTGATTGTCTAAATCAGTGGGGGTATTAAGATCCATATTTTTAATTCTATTGATGAACTATTTGAACATCTAAAGATCAGAGCTAGGGATAATCCGGCTATGGCCAGAATTTATTGTACTGCTGTTTTTTACACTAGGAAACCAAGGAATGAAGGTAAGCATGGGAAACCTATTTGGTCTGCTGCTCTAATCGCTTCATATGTCCTAGCAATATATTCTAAACCTCATATAAATCCAATTTTAGGAAAATGGGATGTTAACCAGCTCATTGAGCTGCAAAATGAATTTTGGCATTCCCCTCAAAATTAGATTAAGGTTAACGTGGATGCCTCAGTCACAAAGTCAAATAAAACTGCTACAGGAGTGATCAGGGATCACAAAGGTAGATTTCTTTTGGCTTTTGGAAGATAAATGATTCATTGGGACATTGCTGAAATGGAACTTTTAGCAGTCCTTGCTATTAAAGAGGTCATTCAAAGATGGGTGATTGAAAAGGAGGGCTTTTGTTATAGAAGGAGATAATGTAAGTGTCATCAAATTGCAGCAGAGATTAATGGACAACATCAAATGGCGCAATGTAGGAAGCTTGGATCCTGATATTTTTTTCTTAATGACTTTTAAAATGTTCTTTTCCATTATATTTCTAGGAATTGCAATAAGTTGCAGATTTTTTGTGCTTCATATGCAATGTTAGGCAATTTCGTTTGGCATGAATGTTTTAAATAATAACCTTCCTTCAACATTATTTTCTTTGTTGAAGGAGTATGATAGGATAGCTATCACTTAGAATTGTACTTCTTTTCTTTGAATAAATGCAAAATGCAGTACATCAAATAATAATAATAATAATAACAAAGACTTTCTAATTCATTGCACAAACCATCTTAACATCAATGACCCAACCTCTTTGAATAATATAGATGATTTTAATGGGTGATCAACAAGAAAATCAAATAATGAGCTAGATGAGGAGCTGGAATTAGCATGTTTTTAAAGATTTGACATGTTACTATTGCAAGAGCTCATGAGTCATTTCTATGAAATAAACTTCAACATTTGAGATTACTCTAAAGGAAAAGAAAAGAATCTTCATCAAGGCTTAAAACACTAAAAATCAACATGAAGATAATAATGATGATGACAAAGATTATGCAATGGGATTGTAGATAAATATGAGAATATTTTGGTTTATGGTGATTTCGGCCAATTTATTTTTTAAATTTGAACATAAATTTTGTAAAAGGAATATCACTTATGTTTTCACATTTGAGAAACATTACTCTTTGAGACTATTTATGACTGTCTTTTTTTATGAAAGCCCAAATTCCATTGTTTTGCATTTTACTCTTAGTAAATTTGGAAGATGATAGTTTCATTTTACAATATAATTGGTTTCTAAGTTTTATTTATTAATAATTTGTTTATCCTTTATTAACCTTTACAAATGTTTAAGTTATACCATCTTGTTTTAATCACGCATCTTAGTGTTCTTTATTGCTCCTAAGATTTTTGTTTTTACTTATTCAATAGTGTCAAATCCATTGGTAGTGAATGAATGACATCAATCATCATCTAGATTTGATATATATATATATATAGACACACACATACAAAGAGTTATGCAAGTTGTGTAAGCAACATGCACATGCATGCATGTTAGCTTGCCTAATCTATAAAGCTGGCGAGTGGGCCAGTATGTGTGTGTTTTTGGGCATATGTGATATTTAGATAATGACAATTGATTTTGGTTGATGAAATACAGCAAAGCAAATTTTAGTGATCCTTTTTTTTTTTAAGTTCACCTCTTTGTGTGTTTATTTGGGCAATACTGCAATAGTAAGCTTTATTTTTACCAACCTTCCATTAATTATATATTTTGTTATTATTAGCACAAGTAAAGGTAAAATTCTAAACTATCATTTGATCAACTTTATGCTATCTCATAACTATTATATATGTGAAAAAGAAAAAAATGAAGACCACTTCCAATAATTGAAACCTACTTCTTATCTTTACCCATGAAGATGGGCTCCAAAATTAGAAAATCAATTTTATTTATTTCAACCGAGTAAACGCTTGAACTCAGTTTTGTTAGTGATTTCCGATCACTTTCAACCACTTGCCTCAAAAGATTAACACTTACAAAATTGTTAACTAATTATGAAAATAAAAGAAATTCTATCATTAAATATTTCTCATGCAATAGATTAATATAAACATGTGATCTTGGGTTTACAGAACATAGGAAATGGAAAATATAAAGTCAAAGTTTGACGGAGAGAAGTCATCTCAAGCACAATGGAAGACCAGCATGTTTCTAGCAAAGGCAAGTTCCTCCTATAATTCGAAGTATCCCATACATTCCTAGGGGGCTAACACGAACAAAAAATAAAAAATAAATTGGTATTTCTTTAGTGTGCCTCTGATTTAGATTGAGTAAACTCCGAATTTCACTCCTTCAAAAGTATAGAGATTTCTAAAGTAAACTGTTTCACTGCTTCAACATGCGATCTTGGATTTAAAGAACATAGAAAATGGAAAATATAAAGTCAAAGCTTAGCACACAGAATTTATCTCAAGCACAATGGAAGACCTGCATGTGGCTATTAAAGGCAAGTTCCTTCTACAATTCTAATTATCCCATACATTTCTAATGGGCTAACATGAACAAGAAAAATAATAAAATGGTGTTTCTTTAGTGTGCCTCAGAATTAGACCGAGTAAACTCTGAATTTCACTCCTTCAAAAAGTATAAAGATTTCTAAAGGAAATTGTTACCAATAGAATGGAGCAAATCATCAAATAGTTAGTAGTTATGGTGATTAAGTACATTAATGGGTTATTTAGCTGTTCATAACAATGTTGTAAAAACATGATAACAAATTTGCAGCCATTGTAAAAGTTTCGATTTCAATAGCTTTCATGGATTTTCATAATTTTTTAGTTCGATTTCATAGTTTTTATTTTCATAATCAAACTTTTGAAAAAGATGAAACATATTATATCAAAAAGTAAATATTTTTTTGTTAAATTTAGAAAATAGAAAAATTTTGATATGGAGTACAGGAGATTATTCAATTAGAGAAAACCAAGAAGTATACAACTTAGAACAATAAAAATTATACTGATAAACTTAAAAATAGTTTCTAGTTCTATATTTTACTAGTGTAAAAAATTTTATCAACTGCTCGATCAAGTTTTCATAAGTTTTGGAAGGGTAATCCATGCAAGGGATTATTTATCATTGAATGGCAATCTGATTTATTTCTATTTAAATGCAACTTTTTACCCATACTTGATGACGAAATCAATGGTACCTTAGTGGCTGGTTTAGGCACATTAACCAAGGCAATTCAAGGTCTGCACTACATTGATTTCAAAGAAATACAACTTTAACCTTTGCTGCAAAGGTGGGAGCACCATGTGTAAATGTTAAGAAGGTTTCACAAAAAAATTGGTCTAGTTCAAGCGAACTACCATTACTTTCCCAACTTCATTAAAGTTTTTTGGATCAAATGACACTGACAGGAATCGATACAAAAATAGATGGCCCGATTCAGTTACATTAATTCTACAAACCATGGTTCATGCATTTATCACAAAATTTATGCAAACCAGCTCAAATTTATATAAGTACTTATGATAATAAACTTTGCTAGGGGAATTCTGATATCTATTATATGACTAATGAATAAATGGCTTGGTGCAAACATTCTCAATTACAGCCCAGTAAACAGAAAGATAACATAAAATTCTGAAGTTGCATTAAATGCGTACATTATCAAGGGGCAACCACTTTAAAAAAAAAATCTAGTCGCATATGTTGGGCAAATTTTGAGTGTCAACAATCAGATAATCACGCAACAATTCCCAAATATGAAGAATGGCTGATCATAATAAATAGAAAACTGTGGATAATGCTTCAAGACTTATTTATCACCTGTTGTCAATATACCAACAATGGAATGCTCTATATATTTTTGAGTGTTAACAACTAGATTATCACACAACATTTCCCAAATATGAAGAATGGCCAAGCATAATTAATAAAAAGTTGTAGACGATGTTTCAAGACTTATTTACCACCTATTGTCAATCTAAAACAATGGAATGCTCTATATATATTTTTTCAAACTATCAGAACTGTCCCAACAACAAAAACAAAAAAGGGGCAGCTTCAGAAATTGAAGGAGAAATTTTATGAGAAAAAATCAAAAATAGGATACAAACATAACAAAGTTACATTGTGTTGATAAAAAGTACCTGCAGAAATTGCCATAGTTGAGATTCCCTTTGTAAATAATCTAAATTTCCTGATAACGCTCCCAATTGAGCAATCAATCTGGCAAACCATACCATCAAGACCAGCTGTGTACAAAAATGAATTGTGACTAGAGAATGAGATAGCACTGACACCCCTGCAAAAGCATATATTTATAACAGCCAAAGAACAATTACAATTTTGCTCCCAAAGACAACTAAGACTTGTAGAGTATCCATAGCAAGTAGCATTCAAGTAAGATCGCTATCTGCCTACATTAATATATTCTTCTATTCTCTATAAAAAAAGCAAATCAATCAACATAAAAATGTAGGCTCAAAGCCAGCAAACTAACCCAGAATGGCAATCACAGACTCTCCATCTTAACTGACCAGTAGACACTTCCACCGCCAAAACATCACCACTGTCGGTTCCCAGTACCAGCAATGAATTCACATGCATCTTTTTCTTCTACATTGCATGATGATAATAAAACGAACTTTTTAACTGGAAGTTGAATCCCAATTGGATAATAAATAAGAAAGCGCATAAATACACGGGGCATTATAACGAAGTACCTTGCTTTCCAACTGCACCCATTTCATGCACTTGAAATTCAGCGCAAGGTGCCCCTTTTTCGATTCAAATAGAATTTCTGAACCATCAGATTTTGGCCTAAAATCGGAAAATTCAGTCTGCAGTTGACCTTTTAATGCATCCCAAACCTGGACCAAAATTTCAAAATCCAAAAAATTTATGCTATGACAGTAAAAAACTAACACTATAAAAAATATCTTTTTTTTTCTTTTTTCGGCAGCAGAATGATAAAGAAAGTACCTTAAGTCTTCCATCGGCGGAAGCAATGGCCAAGAAATCCGAAGAGGGACTAAAAGACACGATGAGATCTCTTATGCCCAAGGTAATCATCGTAGGTAGGGCAGTTTATTTGGCTTGTTTTTAGTTCGTCATCAATTTGGGGCTGTTTGGTATCGGATTTACAGCGTAATAAGTTGGATTTACGCTAAATCCAGCCAAACGGTTTTTGTGCGCGCGTTAAATCCCAGCGATGGCTAAATCCCGGATTTAAGGATTTACGGCTTAAATCCCGGATTACTAAATCCCTCGGTTCGGCGGATTTATGGGATTTGGCCGAAAGAAGCGCGCGAAAGGTAGAAAGTTACCTTCAACGCCAGCGAGCTCCCGTTGTTACTTCCGATCAAAATGTCGTAACTTCCGATCCGACAGAAAGGGAAAATCGTCGAGGAGCGAAGTCGAACAGCCACTAAGGAGCCGAAGAAGCGACGCCTGCAAGCTCTACACCTCCTGCCAAGCAACGAAGCCGAACAGCAACGACGAAAACGGAAGATGAAAGGCAAACCCTAAACCCTAGACGCATCTAAGTTATTATTGATTAACTTAATTAATATAATTTAAAATTGTAATAATTATGTAAATTAATTAAATAATTAATAGTATAATTAGTGCATAAATTAATTATCTAATTTAACATGATTACATAATTAATAATATAATTAGTAATTAAATATTAAAATAATTATCTTAATTAATATAACTTAAAATATATATTATTAAATATAAAATTAATAGTGTAAATAATAATTAATAAGTAACTTGTACTTAACATATTATTAAATTCATAATACATTTATTTTTTTAATTATAAATTTATTTTTAATTTATAATTATCTTCTTCACATTTAAATCTCTAATTGACATAAATCCTAAAATATGTTACAAAACAGTTTCTCAAGATTTAACAGGGTTTAACATTTGTCATAACAAACAAATTTTAGGATTTAACATCCTCAGGATTTGCTAAATTTGAATTTATAGGATTTACTAAATCACACTAAAGTTAAATCCCACTTGTTGCCAAACAGCTCCTTAGAAGCTGAAATAAGGCGAGCAAAAATAGCTCGAGTAGAGAAAAGATGAGAGGATTTTTGTGAGAGGAAAAGGGGGATGACAAAACTTTGTGGAAAAAAAACAAGGACGATATCAATGAATAGCAGCTTCAAGAGGATAAAGAAGAGCTTATGCGGGCCTCTCCCTTAAATCTACGATGTCTCCCAAAATCTCTTTACATACTCACGTCGATGGTCTCATTGCGACTTCCTCAATTCTTCATCGAGGGTTAGGGGTGAAAATGAGTCTAGTCGAGCTCGAGCTATGGGGTGTTCGATTCAAGCCTTACTGCTAAAAATCGAGCTCGAGCTCAAACTCGAGTCGAGCTCGAGCTTAACTCGGCAAAGGAAAATAAGCTATTTGAGCCATAGTTCAAGCATGTTAACAAGCCCCGCGCTTGCTTCATCTTCTGTGTTCGTCAGCTGGTTAGTATCAACACCGTCGGCCTACATTAATCCCGCTTGACTTGCCCGCTTCTGCGGCAATGTCCGCCTGCATCAGCACAACCGCGGCTGCGTCATCAGCATTCATAGTCGCAGCGCTGCTCGACTGCAGCACTGTCTGCCTACGTCGTCCTTAATCGTAGTTGACCACCACCACCTGCATCATCCGCTTGCGTCAGCGCGGCTCTACTGAGATAGAACGTTCGATTAAGGCTAGTAGTCATTCAAATATATAGAGATACATATATCCAACATATAGCAATAGCATGAGTTTAGGTAATTAAAATTGGAAATTTCATCATCTTACACTTAAAATGGATGGTGGGGGAATGGATGATGGACCCGATCAAGATCTCATAGTTATATCATCCCTGGCAATTGTCTACTTAGTCATAAGAGGTAGTCGACCTAACCTGATAAAAAGATCTTTGTCGACAGCCATGTGTTGCGTCGTCTAAGGGTATATTGTAGATTAACCTGGGGTGGATGATTGTCTAAGGGGCAGAGCCCTGCATTGGGTACCCATACCCACACCCACCCATGTACCCACCCATACCCAATGGGTATGGGTAGACCCATGATCTTGTGGGTGGGTATGGGTGGGTACATAACATCAAGGGATAAATCAATTTATATTTCTAATCATTGTATATCTTATATTACTACAATCCTCACTATGTAGTGTGCATCACTTAATCACGCTGCGATTATGGTAAATTATGATATGCGGCTTGAAAGTTTGCAATTAAAACAAAGGGCAACAAGCCTTAAGGTCATTAGTTTGTGGTAGACTGCATTCAAAAGTATGGAAATTGGGTGAGTATAGGTGGGTACGACATCTCGAAAGTCACCATGGTGGGTGTGGGTGGGCGAAGCTCGTCTGACTAAAATATGGGTACCCAACCAGGACCCTATGCAGGGCTTTGCTAATGGGACAAGTTTGAATCCACCTTAGCTAACAGTGGGCTTTGTGCCCTATCGATTATATTATATTGATTCATATCTCAAGGATTGAGTGCCATTGGGGAGAATGGGTGCTCTGGCTATGACCATAATTTAGTGGCACTATTATGTGGCAAACCACGTAGTTCAGAGGCCCCGGACATAATCATTTATATGTTATGCCATTTGATGAAAAAATTGCGGTTAGAGGAAACAAACCATATACTAGCTGGTAATAGACTATTTGAGAATGAATCCTAGTGATATTCTTGACTACACATTTACTCTTTGTGAGATAAATTAGTTTTCAAACTATTCACCTCAAAAAATTATTGTAGAGGGTGGATGAGTTTCGCTTTAAGCATTTGATGATTCTTTTCAATTTAAAAAAAAAATTTATTTAGATCCTTAGGATTTTTGAATTTTATGGGCATTTGAAGGAATAAAGTATTTGAAATTAAGCCATCTGGTTGAGATCTACATTCAACACGGTCATTATTGAATTTTTCATGGGTAATTGGGAATTTCATTGATTGAACATTGTCAACTCTGTCTACTTACCAACAAAGGATCATGTTCTTTGTAGGCTTTATGTCTTTATTTAGTTAATTTTTAGGTTTTATAGAACTTGAAGGTCTAATATGTACATATTAAAATAATTATCTAAGTCGACGTCATGATCATATATTTGTTTGATGGTTTCAGTCGTTTTGACTCCTATCTATCCTTATAAAAGGATTGAACTCAAACTTGAGTTCATTTATTTACATGCTTAGCTTCCTCAGACGTGGGAGCATTTTTGAAATATTTGGTAGGTCTTATACGGCAGCTCGGAGAAGCTCATGTTGTTATGAAACCTCTATATTTGCATGTAGGTGGTATGTTAAGTTTAGGACGGGTCTTCTATAGCGACCCGTAGATGCTTGTATTTGTTCGTAGGCAATATGTTGTACTCATAATAAGCCTCCTCCAATGACTGATAAGATCTTATATTTACTGAAGATCTTCTGTATTTGTCCATAAATGACACTGTGTATATGAGAGGTTTCTTATAATGGCTCATATAAGCTTACCTTAGTCGTCGATCTCCCCCTGTATGTTGACTGTGAGAGCATTTATATAATCATTGCATGTTAATCTCTATGGTTTGGACAGGTTCAATGTATATGTTGTTTAGTGAATGGAGATTGGTTGTGAGGGTGGTACAATATTCGCTGCATATCACCATTTGTGAGTAGTTCAGTATGTATTAAAGCTCCCTTACTACCTATTATATCTGCTTACTGGGCTGATACGAATGTCACTATTATTTATAATACCCACCGTGCCATTTCTTATGCATCTATTTTTAATTAGATCACAAATCCTCATTAATCATTATTGATTACCACTTTGTGAGGTTGAGTATGCTCATTTATGATTTGGTGTTGGTTGTAAGGCTTTGTTACAAGTATCATTAGCCTTCTCATGCATATCGGTTGGCAGGTTGCTACATTTATTGCATACTACCTTCACATTCATAGGAGACTGTTGTAACCATCTGTAAGCAGGTTAATGCATTTGATTATCAACTGATGGTTATTGATTACAAAAAATGCATTCCTTGTATACGACCATTGATATGCCATCAAGTTCATTGCATGTTTATTATTGTCATTCACGAGTGGCCTTTCAATCTTCATCGTTCGTGAGGTTCCATTTGCTTGGTTGCATAATTATATTGACTATTATTGCTTTCCTCCAATGTCTTTGTAGCAAATGCAATTGTCTCAAATCAATCAATTGCTTAAATTTTATCATCACTTGTGAGTGAGTTATCTTGCATATGAGTTGTAATGCTTACTAAAATATTCTTGTGCATCTACTTGCAATTAGATTGTGTGTTATTGTTAATCGATGATGATCATTATGATATTCAGATATTTATTGTTCATTCACTTGATGTTCACTTGAATGACCATGATTTGCTTATATTTCGATTGTTCATCCTTTAATCCTAAGTCTAGCCCCGTGTGTTCCATTCTAGCTTAATTTCGTTATGATTCATTTCAGTTCTTTGTGTCATCATTCGCATATAGTCCTTATTGATTATTCATTATATTCAAATTTAGGTTCAGTCCAAGTCCCTTGTATTCGTTCATTTGAATTCAAATTAGGTCATCTACACAATTCTTTTGAATTTAAAATTAGTTTTCTATTGTCCAAATTAAGTCCCTTTTTTGTTCAAGTTCTTGTATGTCTTCGGATGGAATTTCGGTAACCTCCCGGTGTCTCCCCCATTTAGGAATAAACTATAGGCGTATTATCAAGCCTGACACATCAAGAAAGATGTGCATGATTAGTGTTGAATGACACCGCGGCCGTAGCCTTACATGGATCTTCAATGGTACATGTTTCAAAACACATAGTTGTTTCCCCTCCAGCACTAAGCCACATATGTGTACTTATTTTTTTCATATTGTACTAAGAAAAACGTGCACGAGGCTCACCCACCTCATCGTAAGCGTTATAGCAAGCTTCTTTCGACTGTGCTAAGAAAAGCATGCATGGGTAGTTGCTTATTGCACTGCAAGCGTCGAAAACGAGACTTTCATATTTTTTTAGTTTGAAAGATTATATATGTGTGACGTGACAACGAATAAAATGCAAAAAAATTACATAAAATTCCCCCCTTTTTTTCTTTGAATTCTCCTCTTCTTTTTTTGGACCTATACATATGCATTTTTTTATTGACCTCTCACTCTTATTTTCTTCATTTCATTTCCCTTTTTTTTATGCTCTCCCCTCTTTGAATAGCAATGATGACAATGCTAATTATAAAATGGCGAGATAAATAAACTGGTAATCCCATTGCTTCAAACTTTAAGATGCTAGTTACCTTCAACTTTACAGATTACCCATTTTAATGAACATATTACTAAAACATGTATAATCAATTAGAAAGGATGATTGTCAAGGATAATGTATGCAGGTAACTGGTTTTTTATAACTATAGCGAAATGCTTAACTCAAAGCAAATATTGATTAAAAAAAAGAAACCTTTTCCATTAAACACACTAGCTTTTGCATGTAGTTACCAAGGGAATAACAAGGCTACTAATTTGAAGTTTGAGGGCCGCTTCCTTCTCTCTTTTCATTTGTTGTTGTCAGACTGTAGTGGAAAATATGCTTCTTTGGGTTAGTGTGGAGAAAGTGGCTGATGTGGCTCGGCTTGGAGGGTTATAGCTTATTAGGAGGTGAAAGCAGTTGGCAGAAGTCCACTTCTTATCTCCTCCTTTCCTGTCACGCGAAGGTGCAAGAGGGGAACTGCTAATAGCTATCTAAAGGGGTTGTGGTAGAGTTGTTCAAGTGAAAAAAAGGAACTAATATTGCATTATGCTGTAAAGGTTAGAGGAAGCTGCGATTTTGGCATGCAAAAAAACAAAAAGGTGAAAGCTAAAGTTGGCGCATGACTTGGTCGAATGGCATCAAACAGATGGCGTGAAGGATGGATGTATGTGAAAAGGATTTTTGGTGTGTAGGTGGCAAATGATGTTGGGCTTTGGCTGGGTTGAAGAGTTCGACACATGAGAAGGGTGACAGATGGAAGGTGAGGTTCATATAAATTACGAATACATACGTAAAGGGCGTGAGGTATGTTTGTGAGATATGTAGACCACTCGCGTGGATGGACGTGAAGAAGCATTGGTAAGAGGTATTCAGGAGATCTACGTGAACGACTGTAGCGAGGTGATCGTGGAACCAGTGGGATTTATGTGTGATGGGAGGTTGGCGACACCCGTGTGTGGAGTTCTACTTCATGAAATCGAGCGATGAAAAAAACTGAAGCTCACCTGGCTTCATTTTAATGACGGGATAGCCTTGTTTCAGACGAGGTTTGTAGATTTTATGGATTGTATAATGTGAGTTGCGGAGATATGCATAAGACTTAGAGGAGAACATTCGATATAAGTTTAATTACGATTGGATTTTCATTGTTTGACTTTTGATGATGATTTTTTAAATTAATATTAATAATATTATACAATTTTTAATAATATTATTACTTCAGAATGACAATCAAACATTGATTTCAAAAGAAAATGCCTTAATTCTCATATTTTCCTTCAAATTCGAGCATTTCTCCTCTGAATTCGTATCGATTTCTCCGCATGATTTTAATTGAATAAATTGGCAGTCAATTTTTTGATATTGACGAGGTTCCGAATGCAACAGTGAAGTCCTTTTTTCCAATCTAACGTTGTTTGGGCGACGCTGCGTGTTAATTTCCTTGATTTGCACGTGTTGCCTCGATATTCATGTCGATCCTCTGACATGACTTTAATTGTTCAAATTGACTCTCACTTTTGGGTGTTAATAACGTTTCAAATGTAACGGCGAAGTCCGTTTTGCGATCGATTTTTGTTTTGGGTGACGATACCTTCCAATTTCCTCGATTTGTGCAATCAGGATTCGTGCCGTCTCGTCTGGCGATTTCAATTAAACAAATTAATTGTGATTTTTGGGTGGCAACGATGTTCCGGATGGAACAACAAAATCCTTTCTTTGATCTGACGTCACATTAATTTCGGGTGTTGGTCGTCCTTTTGGACCGATCTCGTTCAACTTAACTAAGAGGGGTCCCCACTTAGGCGAACTCAACATTTTTGTTGCAACGTCGCAATCCTTTTGGCAATTGGATGTGCTTTGACACTTCAAGCGACACGTTGCGTCGAGACGCGCATTGCTTGTTTCGCCAATTTTTCCCCTTTTCACGCATGTTTTGATGCATAGGGGGCAACATAAAAATAATGTGTATTCCTTAATATAAAATATGGTACAATATCATGTTATAATAATATGAAACTTTTTTATCTCATTTTATGTATAAGGGTTAGGCCAACATGTGTAGTTATAAAACTAACACCAAATGAACTAAAAAATAAATCCTCATAGTGAAATTAACATGCATATTTAGAAGGATTGCAACTTAGTTGAATTACAATCATTAAACGAGCTAGAAAAAAAACAAATCCAATTTGAAATATTAATCAAATTTCCCAAAATAAATATAAAAAAAAATGCTTAGCTCACCGAAGATAAGCAAGTTTATCTCCCAACCTCCTCAAAACCGAACCAGCTGAGCCAAAGGTCCAATTCCTGTTTCCATGGTTCAATCTGTTCTGTCCGTCTTGATCAACAAACCGTTCAGATAAAGTGGGATCCAGCGAAAATGATCAGCAGAGAATCCGCATGGTAAGAATCCTCTCTTCTGCTTACCATTCAATACAATTTCGAAGAATCCCTAAGCTAATTCCAGCCTACTGGTTCCCCACCTCATATATCTGCATCCGAAGCCGCCAAATTATATCCTACTTTCACAATGACGTTTACCAGTTCGATAAAATGCCTCAAAAAGCCTCCTTTGAGTTTGGATTCCTCAACCTCCTCAAAACCGAACCAGCTGAGCCCTTCCTTGTTTCCTCTATCCATTGCCTTTCAATCAAAACCAACATTCTGCTCGACATCGTTTTTCGGACTTCACTCCTCAATGCATATGCACGAGCCCGTGATATGAATTCCTCTTTGGCACTCTTTGATGAGGATTTTGCTCGAGATGTGATCTCATGGAATGCCATCATCAATGCATGCGTCATGAACGATGATTTTCAAACTTATATTGATCTCGCCAATGAAATGGTGAAGGATTTTCAAGAATTTGATACCACGACGCTTATCATTGTTCTATCTGCTGCTGCCCGTACTCGCAACTTGAAACAAGGGGCAGTTCTGCATTGTAATATCTTAAAAAGACGTTTTGACTCCGATATCCAGCTTTGTAATGCTCTGATCAATATGTATGCCAAGTGTGGTGATCTAACTTCTTCTGAGTTTATGTTTGAAGTTATGGGAGCTAAAGATGCTACTTCATGGAATTCTATGATTACTGGAAGTTTATACAATGGCTTTCCTGGAAAATCAGTACTGTTCTTCTGGGAAATGACTTGCTCGGTAACTCCACCGGATCGAATCAGCCTGTCTTCCATGATCTCTGCTTGCTCTTGTTCAGAGAAATTTCATAGTTTGGGAGAGGCTGTACATGTTTGGGTGATAAAGTTGGGTTATCTAGGAATGCATGACAGTTCCATCGAAAATTCATTGATATCGTTTTATTTCTGTTATGGAGATGTTGAAGTTGCGAAGGACATTTTTCATAGAATAGTTCACAAGAATATTGTCTCTTGGAATTCAATGATTTATGGTTTAGTGGAAAACAAAAGAATTGATGAAGCTCTGCAGCTTTTCCGCGAGTTGTTATTGAAGACGGACCCTCAGCCTAATGCTGTCACTTTGATAGCCGCCATTCCTGCTTGTCACAGACTTGATCTTCTTTGCCAAGGGAAATCAATTCATGCATTTGCAATTAGGAGTCAATTGGAGGTCTCAAATCCTTCATTAGGAAACTGCTTGCTTGATATGTACCTAAGTTATGAGGACTTTATCTCCGCAGACCTTCTTTTCTGCACCATGCCTATTAAGGATTTAGTCTCATGGAATACAATGATCTCAGGGTACTCAAAGAATGATATTTTAAGACAATATGCTCGAGCTTTGTTCTGCGAATTGCTTCAGCAAGATTTGCAGTGCAGCTCGGCCACACTACTGGGAGTTCTGCCTTCTTGTACTGATCCCCAAGACCTTTACTTTGGGAAATCACTTCATTGCTTGGGGTTCAGGTATGCATTTGTTAGAGATGTTTCAGTTGTCAATGCCCTTATGCTTATGTACATAAATTGCGGAGATATGTTTGCTTCCTCCTTGCTTTTGAGGAGCATTCTGCCTATGTCTGATATCATCTCATTGAACACAATCATAATAGGATATGCTCAACATGGGCATCACGAGGATGCAATCAAAATGTTTCTTTTGTTGCATCATTCATTGAATGCCCAACCAGATCAAATCACATATGTAAGCGCCTTATCAGCATGTGGGAATTTGAGATTAATACAACTAGGCAGATCAATACATGCACTTATGGAAAAGAGCTCAGCAGGACTTGATCTTATGGCAAGGAATGCTCTCATTACCATGTATTTTCGATGCAGCGACCCTACTAGCTCAGAGATGGTGTTTCGAACCATTGAAGATCATAACTTGTGCTCCTGGAATTGCATGATATCAGGCTTTGCGCAGAACAAAAATGGCAGAGAAGTTTTGGAATACTTTAAACAAATGGGAAGCCATAGAGCTAATGAATTTTCCCTTGTAGGCGTGCTATGTGCTTGTTCACAGCAGGGGAATCTCAGATATGGAAGGGAAGTTCATGGCTATGCTATCAAGGCTGGACTGCAAGCAAACAGCTTCATCTCCTCAGCGCTCCTTGACATGTACAGCAAGTGCGGCAGACTTGACGTTTCAATCCAAGTTTTCAACAACTCTTCTGAGAAATCTATTGCGTTTTGGAACTCGATGATCTCAGCGTTTGGTCTTCACGGGCATGGTGAAAAGGCCATAAGCATTTTCACTACCATGACCCAGTTAGGTATTCAGCCTACAAAAAGCACTTTCATTGCTCTTCTATCAGCTTGCAGCCACTCTGGGCTTGTTGACGAGGGATGCAGGCATTACAATCTCATGAAGGAAGTGTTTGGATTTGAACCATGCATTGAACACAATGTCTGTATGGTAGATATGCTTGGAAAGGCTGGCAAAATTTCTGAAGCTTGTAACTTCGTTCAGAAATTTTCATCTAGAGCTGAGCCAGGAACTTGGGGAGCTATTCTGAGTTCCTGCACAGATCATGCTAACCTTGAGATAGGAAAATCTGTTGCGGAGAATCTGCTTTGCTTGGAACCTGACAACATTGGCTATTATATCACTTTGTCCAATCTCTATGCTTGCAAGGGAATGTGGAGCAAGGCAGAAGAAGTTAGAAGCTTAGTTTATGATCGAGGATTGATGAAGCCCACTGGACGAAGCGTTATATGCCATTGAGGATCATATAGGTTTGTTCGGTCTGAGATTATATTATATCTATGATAATTAAAAGTCCTTATATAATCTTGCAGAGGGGGTATGGGGCTAGTAAAATATAATTCCTTTGAACACCATTATTTAACTTGACCTTTATGACCTGGATTGAGATAATATTTAGTTGAGCTGTTAATGTGCTCAAATTCAAAATTATATGTTTGTTAGACCGGTCCCTAGTGGACCGGCCCAACTCCAACCGGGAGAAGGGGCAGCGGCATAGGGAGAGAGAAAGGGTTGCAGCCCACTAGTAATTCAAATTCAAACTATTTAGAGGCAAAGGAGGGGGCGGCAAGACAAGGGAGTAATTTGACTTTAATAATTAATTGTATGCCTTTAGTATGGGAGGGAGGATTAGGGTTAGAGTTATGCTTTGATTTGTTTCTCTTGAAGTTTCTTTGGTGTCTTGGGCTCTAGATTCATCGTCTAGAGATTGGAAGAGAACGATCCTCCTCTCGAATTGAAGATCAACTGTATCTTGCTTGGTGTTTGCTTTTGCTTTGAATCCACTACTATAATCTTTCGTTTTGAATTGATTTCATTGAGAATATCACATTATTGAGAATATAAATTATTGCTAGGGTTGCTTGCGAACTCGAGCATTTTCTCTTGGATTACTTGCAAACTCAAGTATTTCCTATCAATGTTATGACAATTGCATTACTTTAGGAGGTTATTTGGTCTAAACATGTATTGGAATCTACTTTCTCATTGTGTATTCACATTTATGGTAGAACAAAAAAGAAATAATAATAATAAAAAAAGATAATTCTATTGGTTGGGAGTCTAAAATGAGAAGAAAAAAATAATAGGAAACATTTAACTCTAAAAGGGGTTTTAGTTTCTCTTCTTAAGACGAGCTAAATATGGTGGGAAAAAGTAAATTTTTGTAATACCTAAATTTACCATGAAGAATTTTTTTTTTCAACCCACCCAAGAAAAGAAAAAGTCAGTTAATGATATTTTGAAGTGATTACACCTATTTTCTCTTGAATAGAGTATCATCTAAAGATTTTACTTTTGGTTCAATCAATACTTGCAAAATCAGGATAGTGAGGTAAACTGGAAGAACTTATCTCAGATTATCGAAGGCGGGAGCTTTCATAATTTTAGAGATAAGAGATGCTTTGAGCTGTTGACGAGTTCTTCAGCAGATTGGTAAGTCAAGCATAAAAAACCAGTGACCTTAGGAGTGCGACTTCTACAATTATATTCAAAACTTAGTGCGTGTTTCCATTCTGATTCATTTGATGTAGCATATTCCTTGCCTATGTTTTAAAATGAATTATTCTTCTTCCTTATGTTTTGTTATAATGTGAGGCATGATAGAACATTTAGCCTAATTATAATTACTTCTTTTTATAAGTTCTTAGATGCATTATTTATGAGAATGAAAAATGTTATGTTATGTTGTGAATGTGTAAAAAAATATAATGGTGATACTTGCCTTTTATATTGAAATATTATAAGTGTATATTCACATATGCCTTCATAGGTATCTAATAGGTAGCTGGTAGGTCTGATGGAGAGGAACTAGTCCTCAAGGGGGGTGCTAGTTGCCTTGAACTCGCACGGTACTCACCCAAAGTAATCACCATGCGCCACTTATCTGGGCCTACTAAGGAGCTCACCCTCTGTGAGGTGAACCAAGGATTCCTCTTTAAGCTAACAACTTGCCACATATCTAGTCCACCACTTCAATCACTCGCTCCTCTAAGCAATCTCGAACATTCAATCTCTCGCTCCTCTAAGCAATCTCGAACATTCAATCTCCTAGAGCAGCCATCTTCTCTAGACTCAACTATTGGAAAGTGCATATTCATGTGACTCTTAGCCTGCTAATAGGATATTTTTATATTATAACTTACACAAACTATTAGATCCTCTAAATATTGTTTAGTTTGCTAAGGTGTAAGTCTTTTTTTATACAAGTATTCATTTTGTATCAAGTAATAAAGTGATGAGAATAATATCGTTCCCACGAGGAGTTGTGAAATTTCCCAAATTCACTTTAGTACTACCTAATGAAACTACTATATTTATCTAGCCAAATGATTTAAAAACAGGTTGTGCAAATTAAAATTAAAAGCTACAACTACAAAAAGGTAATTCATTATTTGTAAATTTTTTTAACCTGTGATAGTTAAAACATATGATTGCTAAAGAGTGGTTTTCTACTTATTGTTATTGTGAATCGTAGCATAAGTCATCGTCTATCTCGAGCTTGTTAGAGTATCAGTTAGGATTCCTCCTAACTACAATTCTACTATCTCCTTAAGATCCCATAATCCTAACCACCATATGTCTATATTATGAAAATATTATGTTTTAATATCAGTAATTGTTCTTATACTCCTCGATCGAGACTCTAAATTATGCTAGGTATTAAGTTTATGCATGATCTATGCATAAACTAAATTAAGCTTATTAGAGGAAATAAAAATAGATTATGTAAATTATAAAGTTCAAACTTACTCTGTGCAATACATGTCTCTTAAATAATCATAAATTCAAATTAAAAGATTAGTTACACATGAATTTAAGTTTACACCACACAAATATTTTTATTTCACAAATAAAACAACACAATACAAACTATAAAGAAAAAGTAAATGATATAAGAAAGGATAGAAGCGATCCAAATTCAAGGTATAGACTCCTTTGCACTCCACTTTGATCTACACTAATACAAGACATCAAACAAGTATATAAGAGCCACACACACATCTATCTTTTCAAAGTGCCAACCTCTATATATGAACACTAAGGCTACTATTTATAATTTACAAAATAAATGAACTGGCACTATAGTGCTAGCTTGGTGGTGTTAGTGCTGCTGGACTAATGTATCGATTCACTATTCATCGCATTAGTTCACCGGTCTAACTGTCTCCTGCCAAGGTGTTGGGTGATTTGGCGTTGTGGCACTTCTTGGTGCCTTGGCTCTAAGCTCTCCAACAAATTTTTTGAGGCCCTCCGCTACAACACTGTTGTGGGCTCCGAAAATTCATCCTCGGCCTCCCTCGATGTTTTTTAGGGGAGTTTTAATGGATTAAGTTCCATGGTAAATTTTAGGAAGGCATTTTGGGATTGTAGACAAAACACTACATAGAGATTTCACCCTCATTTTGCGAGGACTTTATGATATGAGTTCTGGTTTCCTATAGGTGCAAGCTCCTATAGTTAATTACCCATTCCGATCACGAAAGAGAACATTCGATTAAGGATAGTCGTAGAATGAATATACAGTATCCGTAGATACGTGATATTCGACATATAATAGCAGCATGTGTTTGAGTATTTGAAAAGTTTGATATTAAAAATTTAAAATTGCATCATCTTGTACTTAAAGCAGATGCTGGGGGAATGGATGATGGAGCTGATCATGATCCCATGGTTCTGTCCTCCTGGGCCATCGTGGATTTTGGTCTACTTAGTCAGAGGAGGTAGTCGGCCTAACCTGACAGAAGGATCATTGTCAACAGCCATGGGTTGCTTTTTCCAAGGGTATCTTGTAGACCTATGGTGAATGTTTTTATAAGAGGACAAATTTGAATCCACCTTAGCTAACAGAGAGCTTTGCGCCCTTTCGATTATATCCTATTAATTCATATATCGAGGATTTGATGTCATTGGGGAACATATGGACTCTGGCCATAACCATAATTTGATGGTGCCATTTGGCGAAAAATCATCCGATTCAGCAGACTCCGGTCATAACCGTTTACCTGCGGAGCCAAATTGGCGACAAAATCGTCGGTTAGAGGACACATGCCATATCCTTATTGGTAAGAGATTATTAGAGAATGAATCCTAGTAATATTCTCGACCAGAAATTAGTTCTTTATGAGCTGAAGTATTTTTCAATTTATCCATCTCAGTAAACTATTGCGGAGAGTGGAGGTGTTTTGCTTTAAGTGTTTAATGTTTCATTTCGATTTTAAATATTTCAATCTTGGGGTTTTGGGTTTTTTGTGTTTTGTGCTTTGGAAACTTTTGAAATTTTTAATTCTATTGCCCTCTAGAAGGTATTTTGAATATTTGAAATTAACCGATTCGGTTGAGATCTGCATTTAATGCCGCCATCATTGGGGTTTATGAGGTTACTTCCAATTGTACTTGTTGATTGAACCTTACCGACTTTGTCAACTTGCCGACAAAGGATTGGGTTTGTCGTTGGATGTGGGTTTTATCAATGAATTTCTTTGTTCATACGCCTTAAAGGTCTAACATGAACGTATAAAATAATTATCCTGATCGTTACCTCAATCGTATATTTGTTTGATGGTTCGAGCCATGTCGTCTCTTATCTACCCATATAGAAGGAACATGCTTGAACTTGGGTTTATTTACTAACCCGCACAACATCTCTAGATGTCACATATGTACCCGTAACACGCTCGTCGGAGCCCATGCGAGTTGTGTGATTATACATTCCCTTTAGTGTACCTATGTGGATACATATTACAATGCATGTGCGGGGACATTTTGAAATATCTGACGAGTTTTCTATGATAGCTCGTAGAAACTCGTATTTGTCGTAGTCTTTCAGCATTTGTCTGTGGATGGCATGTAGGGTGCACGAACACTGTTCATCAAGAAGCTTGCAAGCCTCACTAATCTTATTCAACTCAATATTCAGAACCCGGTTGAACTGATACTTACTCCTTTGAAAATAATGATTTGATCTTGATTTGTCTTCACAGAACTAATATAGAAATCAATAAGCAACTTTCTGATTATGTCATCATCATTATTTTCTACTATTGGCTTGATGAAGAATCAATTTTTTCAACCTTGGATGACTATCCTTACTAATGCACTGTACTTTGAAATCAGTAGTCACTGTCTTGAACTTACTACTGCAACAATTAAGGGCACATTAGGTCACTATCTTCGAGTGTTAAATTCTCCGACTTGTGCGTTATCGTCTTGAGATTCATTTAAAACTCTATAGGATTTTCCAATATTTGAGTACCCTAAGAATAATCCTTTATCATATATGGGGTCAAACTTTTCTAGTATATATTTCTCATTATTCAAAATAAACACTTTACATCTAAAGACATGAAGGTGAGAGAGGCCGGGTGTCCTACCCTTAAAAATTTCATAGGGTGTCTTATTCAGCTTGAATCTAACATTAACCCAATTTAGAACATAATAAGCTATGTTTATCGCTTCTGCCAACCATAAGTATTTTGGGAGTGAATATTCAGTTAACATGGCTCTAGTGACTTCTACTAAGGTCTTATTCTTTCTTTCATCAACCCCATTATACTGAGAGGTTCTAAAAGCTAAAAATTTGTGACCTATCCTCTGCTCCATCAGAATTTCACAACCTAACTTTCTTTTAGTTCAAGTGGAGAATGATCTAAATTCCTTGAATGATTCTTTTTTATGAGATATGAATCTAACCAAAGTAAATCTCAAGTAATCATCAACAATCACATAGCCAAAGACTTTGTCTCCTAGGCTTGTAGTGCTAAGAGGTTAAAAAAAAAATCCATGTGTTACGAATTTGGATCCAA